GAGATAATCTGTTGTATGTACTATATATATGAGCAAATGTGAAGAAACCAAAACACCACTCAGGGTGGGGGTACGGGGCATTGATGGGTTGAATAAATGATTAAATAATGATGAAACTGACACGGAACAAAAACTATCCTGAGTTTTTTTTTAGTGATTGGATTGTCTGCACAAATCAAGAACTAAAGTAGGGAGCAAGGTAAAAGAGGAAAACGTGTACAGTATTTCTCAGGGACTGACAGAGCAAACTGAATGTAGCTCACAGGATCATAGCAGACCCTCTGAAACCCCTATGTGGTCTGAGTATCCACTGTATAGACTTCCGTGGCAGGTACAGAATGAGGATGAAGACTAATGGAGGAATACATCTTTGGTGAGCTTTTCGGCTACTCAACAAGCTCTGATATTATTAACTTAGCACTTCATTTAGTACCGTTTTTTTTTTTTTGTAATGCAGGAACACTTCCTGAAACTATACTGTTCTGTTTTTCAGATTCTGCACACAAAGTCCAAAAAAAAACGAAATTCAAAACACCTCACATGTCTTCTTGCAGAAGCAAACACTACATCCAAAAACTCTAAAAAAACATCTAAAAATGAAACGTTTGATTGAAAACGTGAAATAACATTAAACATAGCAGACATAACAAAAAAAAAACAATATATATATAATTTTGATTTTTTTATTTGCATTATTTTTCAATGAATCGCTCCAGCAGGGAGAATGTCTTGTCCATCTTGTGCCTTGCTCTTCTGTGCCCTCTTCTCTGCTGCCCCTCTCTGGAACCTCATGTCCTCCTTAATTAGGTCCATCAGCTCATCATCATAGTCCCTCTCTCTTTCTCCTTCTCTCCCTGACCTCTCCTCCTGCGTGGCCCTGGTGAGTCCTCAGGACTGTGTGGTGGAATGCCTCTGTCCCAACACCTCATCCATGAGGACAAACCACGACCATGTTGCAGCAGTGGGTTTCCCTCTCAAGCCCTCTCCTGACCCGGGACACTTGTAATCCTAAAGCAGAGGAAATCAATCATGACAGTACACAACAACAACAACAACAGCAGCAAACACAAATGTTAGCAAAAGTCAGTTTATTAATTTGTATGAGTAGATATAAATTCAATTTGAATGCACAGATTAGACTTTTTAGGTTGTCCCATTTATTTTTGGCCTGTAAAGATGAGACACTAACAGTCAGGCCCGTCTTCTCCAAAATAGTTGTTATTACAGAGAAAACAACAGAAAAGGGAAATCACATTAACACAGGGTTGCAAATGACACCCACTCCTTAAAAACCATTTATTTGGATTGGAAAAAGAAAGAAAAGTCAACAGTTTGCATCCATGTGACACAATTTACTGGGTGTCTTATTATTGTGGGCTTTACATAGGATGAGGATTAATTATAGCCTTAAGTACACGATGGTCAAATGGTCATAATATAGCCTGTTGTTTTCATGTTACCTCCAAGCAAAGCTAGCTGTGTGCCTCCTGTGAACAGATGATCGTTCTTCCCCCACAGCTGGGTGAATTGAGCAGTATGCTTCTTGCTCCCTAAAATAAAACGAAAATGTTTGCGCAATGTGACGTTAAATTATGCTTCACTCTAACAAACATTCAATCCAAACGTTTGAAACCGTTAGGCTACTGGAGTAATATTAAACTGAAAAACAAACAGGATTCACGACAAACGTAGCAAAGTTTGTTAACTCAACTGAAGAAAAACAAAGTAAAGTTAACTTAACCATCGTTAGGTCGAGCTGCTAACCGTTATTTAACCTAACGCTTAGATCCTTAACGTTACGGCTCCCACAACATCAGCAGGAATCAACAAATGTTCTTTTAAGTCGTCTTCCTTTTTAAACATCGTAACGTTAGCTATTCGAATGAAACCCAATACTTTCATTTAAAAGTGAGAGTTAGATCTGCTGCGGAGGTTGGGATTGGGGATGCCACTGTTAAATCTCCCTGGTGTGCAATAAATCTTGGGAAGTGTGGGCTGCAAAGGATCCAGATGTTGAATCCTCCAAATCGGGGGAAACAAGGCTGCATTTCTCAGCCGCATTTGAAGGAGCCGTCGAAATGGGACAGCTCTTGTCACGCCGTGACGCATTCAGTCTTAAAGAGCCCATATTCTGCCCTTTTTGGGGTTCGTGTATTTAATCTATGTACCTACTAAAGTATGTTCACAATAGCTAAAGTTTGAAAAAAAGTGTCTGTTTTCATGAACTGCCGCTCCATGCACCGGCTAACTTCTGACTCTCTCTCTAAGGCTCTGAAGTGCCCAAGTCTGACCTGATTGGTCGGCCTGTCGTAATTGGTCAGTCACTCAGCACGGTTCTCGGAAATGTCACGCCCCTTTTACCATATTGGGAATGCAGCCACTTTTGCTCCGAGCGGAGCAAAAACATTAGCACCTTAGCACTACTGTGCTACCGCAGGCTACAGCATATCATGGGTGTGCTACAGAAGTTAATGGGCTTGCCACAACGAGCCAATGGGCTTAGATCAGTGATATCACACTGACAAGACATCACACTGGCAAATCTTTTTCAAGGGGGGCTAGAACCGAGCGTTACATGCAGCTAATGCTACAGCTAACAGGGGGAGTGGGAGAAGCTGCGTTTCCGCGGACTTTGAATTTTTGCACATAGATGTGCCTAAACATGCACAGGACACATTGAAAACACACTAAAGGGCATATGAAACCAGAAAAAGCAGAATATGACCCCTTTAAAATGCAGTCAATGAAGGCCGCGGCCGATGGAATGTGACAAAGCTAAAGTGTTGTGTGTGCTGTGTGATTGGCTGACGGCTCCAGCCCCCCCGATCTATTTATTGTGCTTATTATTATGAAAAGTATTTTTACATACATACCTTAGAAAGTGTTTTACAGTAACATTTAAAACATAAATAAATAAAATAAAATAAAACACAATAAAGTCTAGATGTCATTATGTCTTTTTTTTTTTTACTTTTCAAATAATAATGAATTATTCCTCTTCACTCGTTTCATCAAAATACAACACGAAGCCTTCATCAGAGAAAAGACTTGCAGGTTTTTTCTAATGAAATAATTGTTTAAAAAAGTCTTGAACTTTGTTTTTGAGTGTGTTGTTTGCAGGGGTGGAAAGTAAATATTAACTTATGTTGATTTAGCTGTTTTGTGTGTTTATACTATTTTGAGTAATTACATTAAATACTACATTGTAAAAAAGCATCCATTAATGAGTAATAAAACTAAAAGTGCAAAAAAGTTCATCAGGTTTTTTGGTGAAAAACAATATTTGAACTGGTTTCTGGATCATGGCATGAACAAACAAACCCACAGAATATCTTATTTGAAAACTAAAGAAAAACATCTATACCAGTGGCTTTCAACTTGTGGGTCAGGACCCTAAGTTGGTTACGGGGCCATTTTCGGTGGAATGCGGATGTGTGCCTGGAGGAAAATGTTGTCAAAAAATCCATAAGGAACTTTTTGTACAGTATAAGGTCCAAACTGTACGATTTTCACAACATAAATCTGTTGGCTGAAAAATGTCAGAAATTGAATTTTTGATTTTTCACTGACTTGGTGGTGGGTCCTGGGACTAAACCAGTTGAGAACCACTGTTTATACACGACCATCCAAGCACCTACAATCTTTAGCTGTATGGTCTCACCATTGAGTGTGTTCACATGGACTTGAGTATCCCAGTTTTATTGGGTTTTTTAAGTATCCTGTTTTTGTGTTTGTGCATGCAACATCTTATCCAGATTTCAGAACCATATGCTCTGATTTTGATACCTTGAGAACCTGAAAAAGGGATATTGTGGCATGTATATGCCATACCCTGGTTTCTGACTCTGCACAGGCGCTACCTCTATCAATCAATTTATTTGTAAAGCACCAATTCATAACAAATGGTTTCTCAAGACACTTTACAAAAAGCAGGTAAAAGACCTTACTCATTGTTATGTTAATCCATCATTAGCACTAAGCAACATTTAGCAAAGTTACAGTGGCAAGAAAAAACTTCCTTTCAGAGGCAGAAATCTTGGGCAATACCAGGCTCATGATGAACAACCATCTGCCCAAACTGCACTGCATGGCATCTACCGTACCATTACATCTGCATATTTTCACCCATTGCTCCCTTGTCCTGCATGAGGACATCATTAATATTTGCTGTCACTCTCTTCTCCCTCTGCTGAAAATGAGGTGGATACGCCATATCTGCAACATGAGTTCAGTATTCAAAAGTGCCAAGCCTGAAATAAGCAACAGTGTTCTCATTTTCTCTGATTTAAACGTTGTTGTAAAAAACTGAATATGATGCAGTAATAAGTAGTATTTATATCACGTATACGGGGATTTGAATATATCCTGAAAAATATAAAAACTGAGATAATGCTCATAGCCAGGATACTCAGTCCAAGTAAATGCATCCTTTGTGCACTGCACAGGAAGGAGAAATCATATTTTACTTTACAAACCGTCCACTTCCACTCAGGTATGGCAAACACTGCTCAGTTCAAGTTCATCTTAAACAAAATACATTTTACTTTTACTTGAATAGATAATTAGAGAAGTGATTTAATTCCACTTACATAAAATGTATTCAGAGTAACTTTAATTTTCTTTTACTCGTTCCACCTCTTGTAATTTGTGAATATGCCTAATGAAAAGAGATAAATCATGCCTTCTTAATTGAATCCCTTCATATAAAATCGAGTGTACGTGGCCCTTTTCATCTGCCTTAGTTGTAAAATCTATTTACATGTCATTAAAAAGGTGAAATGTGCATACACTACATTTCCCAGAAAGCACCACGTTGCACAGAAGCCTCTTTGGGCAGTGGTTGGATGATTCGCTGTCAGGTGACGTTGTTGGGCAGCGCTTTGCTCGGAGTTTTGTGGTTTGGTGTGACATCCTGCTTCTTTTCTCCACCCGAGCCTACACGAACTCTGCCGCCCGGGAAACAGTCACCGTCCAGCGGATAACCCCACAGCACGGTACGG